TAAGTTAAAATTAATAAAAATATATCAATAATAAAATCAATAAAATTAAAATACATCAATACAAATAAAAAAGTTATTTTCTACGTATTATTTTCCATAGAAATATCTTAAAAGAAAAACATTTAAGCCTAATTTAAGACTGTAAATATTGAGAAAAAAAAATATCTCAGATTTGGAACAGAATAACCGAGAGAGCATCCAAAGACTATCCGTACAAATTTAGTTGATTGAAGTCTGTCCTCTTAATAGCCGTCAGGTGTTCTCAGGATATTAAACTAATTCTGTAAAAATGTCATTACACATGGTTTTGAACATAAACATTTCTAATTGATCTGTTGAAATTAGGATGAAATGATAGTTATAAAATGTATATTTTTTAATTTTTTAAATTTTTTACAGAAATTTACAATTATAAAATAAGTTTTTTCCTATTTTCATGTAACAGCGTACCATTTAATAAATGAATCAAGCCCACTAGATTTACTTTTAAATTTTCTAAACAATCGCTTGTATTGGCTGTTAACTCATGAAAAAACTCAATTTAAGTACTTTTAATTTATTCTCTAAAAAAATTGGTAACAATAAATAATTCAGTAATCATTAAACTCGGAAACATCCTTGAAAAAAGCAAGCAAGCAGTTTGACACACGATAGTAAAGTTCAAACATCCCCCCACCAATACTCGCTGCGCGTCATCAATTCCTACCACCATTGTAAAAACTAATGGAAAAAATTGCAAAGACTTGTAAAGAAAAAAAAAAAAAAAAAAAAGAAAAACGATCAAATCACGCGCGAGCAAACAAATCGCTTAGCACCCCTTCGTCTTATACGCGCCATAATCTTTCGACCGGTCCTAAGATAAAAGTTCTCTTCCTCGCTCGTGTGGAAAGAAAAATCACCAATCGGACCAGCACCTTAAAAAAAAAAAAAAAAAAAAAAAAAACCAAAGAAAAAAAGAGATAGAGTAAACACACACGTTCTAGAAAAAAAAGAAGTAGAAGAAACAACAATAGTCGACGCCTCAGCGGAGTTGGAAAGTGTTTTTTGCTTTTTATACTCGGACGCGGAACCGACGCGCTTCCGCGTATGCGACTCACCTACACAGAAAGTTGAACTTGCGCTACATTTGTTTATCTTTCCCCCCCTAACTTCGACTATTCATAAAAACGGCGAAAATTCAGGTCGCTCCTTGGGGACGATGTGAGGTCGTGTCTGTACATCAAGTTTACCTGGCGTTTTGCTGGTAGAAAGATTGTCCGAGAGCCGAATAGGTACGAGGGACATGGGGAAACGATACGCTTATACTCGAGCTACCATATGCTTCTTGGAAGAAATTCTTTCTTTGCTTGTTCAGAAGCTTAAATTTTCACTGTGTGCCCGGAGTGGCATTAAACACTGTAAGATTTGCCTGTTTACAATAATTTTCTTGCAGTATAATAAAAATTTAATCTACTTATCATCAGCTTTAGCTATTGCGATTTTTTACAATCTTAAGATGACTAGTATTATCACTATTAGTTATCAATATTATTATTTTTATTTTTAACATCGCGGTTGCAATAATAGCTGTTTTATCACCATTGTTATTGTATTATAAACACATACTAGTAGTTTTATTTAGATAACAATTATTTTTTGATTATTCAAAGCAGCCAATACACGTTAGTAGGACAGACTGTAGGGAAAAACCTGCTCCTGAGTGTTGACACCCCAGTTGGATTTCGTATAAGCCGGAGCGTCAAGGTTGAACCCCCGTACTTTGTTAAGTGCGAACAAACTCCGGAGCAGTTATCGAAACAATGCCAGAGAAGGTCACTTGGTGATCGCTCGTTCAAGTATTGAGTATCGGTCCTCTCAAGGGAATGGTACGACACCACCGTAATAATATATATACCCCTGATTGGCTGCGTTCTGTTGATCTAATCGGTGTAGGAAGTTGATTGACTGGAGATAAAATAGATGATACGTAAACACGGTTTGTCACACGTCACGCTCTTTTCCTCCTACCTGTTGAAATGTGTGTTTTCGAAGGGGCAAAAAAAAAGTATCAAACCAATAAGACAATGTTTATGAAAAGTTCAACCAACACCTGATTAAATTACTTGTTGGCAATATCACTAAAAAATAAATCTTATTGATGGATAAATTGTTCACCTGCCCACAGAGTTGGTACAAAGTATGTAACATATTTTTTTTTTCTTTTAAGTTGAAAATGTAAACTCAAAACTTTAAATAATAACTGACGAGACACGAGGCAAACTAATACCTAAAGCAGCCAAGCTAAAAGCAAAGCTCGAAGACAATTTGCAAAGGTGATAGGTATTTTCGATACTACACTCGTTCTTCCACGTCATATGCGTCTTTCCTACTCCGGCATCTTATATTCCAAGCCATGCTTTTCCTCTAGGTAAGTATAGTGAGTGCTGCAGCGGCAGCTAAGTCGAAAGCCAACTAAATTGGTAGTACGAAAATGAGATTTACGCTTGGAGACGTGATGGTGTGGAGCCCCACGTCTCGGCTTCTCTGGTGTTTCGCTCGATAGGGGAACAATAGAGGGAAATGTGGAAAAGGATTTTAATAAAAAAAAAAGACAAGGAGGAAATGGAAATTTTAAGCGAGTTTGGTATTTTATGCTCACCTGGCAAAAATATCCATGTGGTTCTCGATGTATGGAATGTACGTAACATCATCAGCAGCACTGTGACCGTCGATTTCTCCCGAGCGAGTACTTTTTGCAGCAGAAAAATCAAATGTGCTGTACATGGCTCGCATTCCTTTTTTTCTCAAAATAAGCGCGAAATTGCGTAAAAAAAAATATTGCAAAAAAAAAAGGACGGGGGAACGAATGGAAACACGAAAAAAGGTTGAATTTTTTTCGCAGAAAATCGGCAAGCGTACGCTCGTATGTGTGCGTTTGCACTTTTCCAGGAAAGGAGTCGATGGAATTGTTCTAGCGAAAGTTTTGCATACGTTTCCCCCCCTCCTTTTTTACCTACGTCGGTCTATTGTAGCGAGCGCGTGTGACGAAGCTTCGTTGTCGACGCCCTACCCCCATTTCTTTTAACGCGCACGTTGTTTCGAGAAATTCCTTTTACGGATATTTGGCATGAGGTGGAGCTTTTCTGCTTTGCCCTTTTTTACACTGCAGAACCTCTCTCCCTGTGATTTGTGACGTTGGAAGTAAGGTGTTCTGTATTTTTGCGATTCAGTTCATGATTAATCATGTGTAGCTAAACAATTGTTGTTATATTGTTTTATAATATGTTAAGCTGTGCTAAAAAATTTTTAGACTAAGTTACTATCTTTTGTCAATTTCTATGATATCTTTGGTATTTATATACTCGGGAGCTGTAATAAACGTGAAAAACGAAGGAAAAAAGAAAATACAAAAGAAAACGATATAAAAATGGGATAACTTTGGTTTAATACCAGAGAAATAACACGTGCACTCCTTTTTTAAAGTGTATAAAGTGCTCTGACCACGTAGTAATACAAGTTTATTTTTCTAAACAGTGAAGCTCTAATAAAAGTACATGACCCATGAAAATAAATGTTTTCCCCGATATCCTAGTAGGTATTGGCAATGGTATATCCAAAGACCACCCAAGTGTGTGACATTAATTACTTATTTCGATACATCTATATCCCCGTATTATTTGATTGAACTTTAATCATAGTTGGTGCTTGTTCTTATTTGTTGCAGGTAAGTTACCAACATAGATGTAACACGAGACTGTAATTCGATTTCTCGCTCATAATTGTTTGAAGAACATGAGCTAATGGTGATTGTGACATTATAGAGGTATGTTTAAAATTTTTTTTAAATAGGTATATTTTATGCCCTAAGTGATGGTAAAGAATGAGTTGAGTTTTTTTTTTCTACTCCTTACCATGGTTACGTTAAGAAAATTTACCAAATCTTTTCTTGACGTTTAACTTAATTGTAAATCATTTAATAAATAATTCATCCGAATATATAATCAGTTTTAAATTTGTTTACCTTAAAACATTGATTTTCAATGATGATTGTAAAATGTTAGTTTATAATATGAACATAATTGAAAGCAATAAAATTTGGTTTGTTGATTCTCTAAAGAATCAAATGGACAAAAAACTGTTCGATTACTATGATGATGAATTAAAATTACACAAAATCTTTGAATATCGCTTATAAAATATAAAACTTTTGATAAGTTTGTATGAAAAAAAGTTTTCACAAATTTGAATGTTACAATAAATTAATTTTTTAAATTCGTATTTTATATGATGGCGTTTAGTTTAACATTTCTCTTTGAAAAATATTTCCACAATTAATGGTAGTCTTAGGATGTAATAGGTGGTACTTAGTATGTACGATTGCAAAGACAAAAAAATAGGCAAAAAAAGGCAATCACATTGTGTTTTCTTTTGTTAACGTGATATGTTTATTGAATATCACAAGTGACTATAAACACTCATTTAGATCACGAGAAACACGTTTAACATAATCAGATAGAATTAATTTTTAACTGTATTCTTTGTCCAATGCATTACATGTCCCTTACTTTTAACAATTCAAATATTATCCTAAAATGTACAGCTTAATATTTACCTAGTTTTTAACAATTTAAATATTTTTCTAAAGTATAAAATTCATCCAGTTAAAAATAATAACATCAGCCTGATTGCTCATTCTTTCGCCAATTCATTATCCAACTTCCGTATATTTTCTCAGGGGCTGAAACAGGGTGCGTTAGCGCAGACGCTCAGTCTTGCAGTTTGCTAGTGACACAATCAATCCCCCGAGGGAGTAGAGGCCACAGTCGTGTAATCAGTATAATGTTGACGTCGAAAAAAAATGTACCTTTTTATTTTTGTTATCTACCCACGAGTCAAGTGCATCTATCAAGGCTATTGATTTTTAAAGATACAATCAGCTGATCGTCAAAAAACCAATTGTAAACTGATGAAAAATAGTTTATTGACAATAAATGCAACGAGTGCACGGAAAAATTCCATGGTTTACGTCTCATCCATGATGTAACTTTAATATTTTTATCATTATACAAACTTTTACATGACTAAATGCTTATCTTAAGATTTTATAAGTTCTTAAGTGTTTTATGTATGTTAAATTATATATTGAAATAACTGGGTTCGTCTTTACTAAAAATTTTTTTTACTAACATTTACGAATCAAAATAAGAATATATTGTAAAATCAATTAATAATTTATTTCATTGTAAAGATCGCACTATCATATAAAAGTGTCCAAATGTTAAAAAAATCATATGAATAATTACTGTTCAATCATTTGGAAATCAACAAATTAGAGATTGTTATTACAAATGTATTGTATTTTGTCAACATTACGGATAGCATCCAACAAATGTGTAAGAGATACGGAGTCCAAAAATATTTTTAAATTTATTATAAGATGTTATGTTTTCGAGTTATGACATTTAAAAAAATTTTCAGAACATTTGTTTGAATAAACCGAACAGTGCCATCGATAGAATTAATTTTATGGGCACTATTAGAAATGCTGCTCCAGATTTGGTTAACATCGAAATTAAAACAACGGAAGCTCTTCCAGGGAGCATAATGTTGTCAGAAACTGCCATTGAGCTGAAATTAAAAACAAATATTTTTAGATTTTATCAGACAGTTATCATAAATCTGTGAACAGAAGCTGTTAATGAATAAATTTGTATTTATCAATGACAAGCAAACTTACTTCCACATCATATTGGATCCTATGCTGGATACATAGATAGTAACATTATTACCAGGTCCTGTATAGCTGCTAATGTCTACTTTCTGCGATTTTTCATTTTGGAAATTGATCAAAAGAATAACGCTCTGTCGATCTGTCTGGCGAATAACAGCCAAAACATCGTTTCCGTTCAAAATTTCAGTTTTTAACGATCCATTTTTCAATACTTCTGAACTATTCCTCAAGGATGTCAAACTTTTGTAGAGCTTATAGTGAGATATTGGATCTATCTTTTGCTTGGCTAAATTCAATTCCTTGTAGTTCTGATGAACTGGCAGCCAGGTCTTATCAGCCTTACTGAAACCTACAAAACGTAAAATTTTAATCATGTTATTGATGTAAGAATTCACAGAAATTTATTATAAGTTTAACCAAAGTTTACCAGCATTCTTCGTGTCGTCCCACTGGAAAGGTGTCCTGACAGGATCCCGAGAGCGTGCCTTCCAATTACCATTTGGATCAACGTTGCAAGCTTGTGGATCCTGAGTCTCCTCCCACGTGATATCTGATTTATCCTCCATACCTATTTCCTCACCATTGTAAGTGACTGCAACTCCAGGCAGTATCATGGCCAACATTGTCATCTGATCTGCCCTGTTTGGATAACGAGTAGCCAAACGGTTGCGATCGTGATTTCCCATCTATGAGTAAATATTGATTCGGATCGATACTAAGATGTTGTCAAATACTTGAGGATAGATATAGTACGACATTACCACCCAGTTTGATGAGTTCCCTGGAGGGACTTCTTGAACCCAACTATCAATAATTTCCTTAAATTTCTCGGGTCCCGAATTATTGTTGGCCTGAACGATGAAGTTGAAATTGAACGGTACATGGGATCCATATTTATAGAACTTTGTTGTATTCTTAAGGTTCGTGTAGGCTTCCGTTAAAATGACCTGAAATTAATAAGTAGAGTTTAATTAAAAAAACAGACGTATAAATTAAAATGATATTCAGAATATGAGACCTTTTCCTCTTCGTTATGCTCATCAGCCCATCGGTCCATTAGATTTCGCCAGCTTTGGATGAGGTCATATGTACGAGGATCATCTTTTGTATAGATATGGTCCAAGTAATTGTAGTCTCTTTCGCTAGCTTGCTGATCATTCGATCTAGGCTCATCTGGGAGGCCATCTTTTTCGTAGACGTGAGGAATTGCGTCCACTCGAAAACCATCAATACCTTTGCTTAGCCAAAATTTGATGATTTCCTAAAATTGGATAATAATGATGTTGATGGCTAGTGACAACTGTACTTTTGTAATGACTTAATGTCTCGTTAAAACAAAGTGCAGTAATTTACAAAGACGACTTACTTCCATTTCCATTCTCACGTTGGGGTTGGTATAGTTCAAATCAGGTTGTCTGTATTCAAATTGGTGGAAGTACCACAATTTTCTAGTAGCATTGTAAGTCCATGCTGGTCCACTAAATACGCTTATCCAATTATTGGGTGGCTTCATGTTGCTTTCTTTTCCTTCTCTCCAGACGTAATAATCCTTGTATTTGCCCTTACCGTGAAAACTTTTTATAAACCAGTCATGCTCATCCGAAGTATGATTAGGTACCAAGTCCATGATGACCTACGTTGATCGCAATTATTTTAACACGAATCTTATAATACGGTATATTTATGAAAACGAGAGAATATCGAGGGGCTGCGCACTCTAAAGTCCTTTGGAGACTTTTGAAGTCTTTGAAAGACTTAGAATGACTTATGAAGTCTTTTTCAATGGCTTCAAGAGTTTGCAGCCCCTCGGTGAATATTTTGCCCTATTTACCTTAACGCCAAGCTGTTTAGCCTTTTTCGTTAAATTTTCAAAGTCCTCCATTGTACCATACGCTGAGTCGATATCACGAAAGTCGGATATATCGTATCCAAAGTCCACCATAGGGCTGGCATAAATAGGCGAAAGCCATATGGCCGTGATTCCCGACTCTTTGAAATGCTCTAGCTTGTCCGTTATACCTATAGATTCGGTTAAGAAGAGTGTTAAGCTAACATTCCTCAATCGATCACTAGATCCCCAAAACTTACCTCGAAGGTCACCAATGCCATCGTCGTCGGCATCCATAAAACTTCTCGGGTATACCTGGTAAAAGACCGCGTTCTTCCACCATCCTTTATTTTTTATCTCTCCTGCTGTCAAAGTGGCGAAAATCAGGAGAGCCACGCACCACCTCAGAGCCAACATTTTCACACTGCTAGATCCCGATCTTTTAGCAGACCCTTATATTAGAAGAGGTATCATGAATAAGACGCCACTATCTATTAACTATCTGGCCGATACCACCTAGCAATATCTTAATCGCTCCCAACCAACTATCGCTTTTTTTCAATTCAACATGTAAAAATTATCGCTCGGTGAGCTGTTTTTCTAACTACTACGTCAAGTCCTACAGTTGTTTGTGAATTTTCTGCGTCCTCGGAAACGATAAATTTTATTTTTCAACTACAGTACAAAGATCGGATGAAAAAAAAAGAGAAAAGCTCTCTTCCGGATATTTCAACTATTGGATTGCAAAAAACTAGAGTATAAGAAGTACGGTTCTAGGACCGATTCTTCTGGCTCGGCATTTCGCGCGACACTAATACCTAACTAGTTCTAGCGCTCGAAAAACGCAAAGAACGTCGTCGACTATGTTTTCATTTTTCATTTGCTCTACAAACAGTAATTATTGTGGTGATGATGACGGAAAATTGCGCTTCAAACAATGGGCGCGTGAATCGAGGTGTGTAGGAGCGCATCTAATTCAGCGATGGCCTTGGGGAAGTTGACTCTAACAGATTTGCGTGACAGAGAGTTAATGATGTGTAGGAGTTTATGTGTACACGTACATTTGAAGCTAATCTCATCACTGGGTTTGTGAACCTAATTGCTAAAAGAATCGACTTTGGGGGACTCTGCGAATAATTACCATGTTTTTTTTTCTTTTTTTTTTCCGTGACAAAATGCTGGTAAAAATACGATGGTTAATTCCTGAGATGGACTAAAGATGTGCCTTGACGGCCAGTTGCAAAGTTACGTAAGGAGCTACAATTGTTTTGCGAACTTGAGAAACGTGGTGCAGTTTCCTTATCAGTGGAGTGCAGGTAAAAATCGTTGCTTATCGAGTGAGAATGTAGTTTTTTTTTCGCGATGCTTGGATGATAAAGAAAATAACAATTTCACGCTGCATCACAATTGACGTAAGAAAAAAAAATTCGTAATCATTTTTAATGTAATGATTTAATTTAAACACATTTATTTCTATTGACTCAACTGTCTATTAAAAGTGTAGTTAAAATGAAATTGAAACCAAGTCATTGTAAACGACTCCACATTGTTCCATTACGAGATAAGCCTTCAGTATTAAAAGTGTATTATCTATCGGTATCATATAAGGTCTTATATAAGGAAAATATATTTTGCATTTTTATGTTCCAATAAACTGAGAATAAATTGTGGAATTATAATACAAGCAAAGAGTAGTAACTATAGACGACATACTAGAAAATGATAAAAATTATTTTTTGTTTATTATATTTGTCACAAAAGTATTTGATTCTGACACGCTAGTAATTTACATCATTTAATTTGAGTCATAAAGTATCTGTTATGTCTTGTGTCATGCATTAAATAACATTGTAGAATCGGATAACGTAATTATATCAAAAAGAATCAAAATCTAAAAGCAAAAAGTAACCAGGACATGGTTGCATAAGCAACTAGAATCGCCTAACGCTTATCTACCAAGCAATGAGTAACTTACTACGTTCAGTGCCAAGGGTCCGACGACACTCTCCAGTTGTTTGCACAGTCAATAGAGAAAACATTTCAAAGTTCCACCTTGGGTGTAATTTAACGCTTGACTTTATTCTACAAAAGTTTTGACAAACATTTTTACCTCGCACTTGAGAAACTTCTTTTTTCGTTTCAATAACGAAGATTGCATGATAAAACTTTAACTTGAAGTCTTGCATTAAAAAGCATTAAATAGCCACTAGAAGGTCATCGTTCAGTTAATCACTATTGAATTGAGTTTAATTTATGTTTATTTATCATATCAGGATTCAGTTTTTATTATTATTATTATTATTATTATTATTATTATTTTTTAAGAGCTGTACATTTTTTCTCTAATATGAATATAAAAAAGTCCCATGCATCGATCATGCCTAAGAATTAATATTTAATTAAATGACGGACTTGATAAAAAATGAATCTAATATAAATCAAGTAAATTAAAATGACTATATTGCACAGCATTTGAAACTTTAAAAAACACCTAATCTTTTCATTGCATTAGTTTACGCTTAATTTTAAATCTTATAAGTACCGAAATTGTAAAGCTCGATTTTCTGACAGCAAAATAATGATATGTCTATACGTTTATTTGAACAAGGGTGAGTTATGTGGCACAGTTGAAATATATCTTGAGCTCTCAGAATAAAAAGGGTAAGCAAGTGAGAGTCTAAATGCAAAGTTATGTTTACTGATAATTAAATAAGATGCTCAGCTTATTAATGTTAAAAGTCTAGGGAAGGACAAAATCCTTCCTCATTCTTGTACATCATAGATATTTTAATGAAGCTTGAAAGCTTTTTCGTACATTCTGTTTTTTAAATATTCGTAGGGCAAGTACAACCTGATGATTATCATACAATATTTTTTACGACTTGAGCAATATAATTGTTGTAAAGTTCCTTAAGGTGAATATGTGTAGGTCATAAAGATTAATTTGAAATATTAAGAAAATAATGAATATTAAGTACATCATGTGTAATGTAAAGTATCGATGATAAAAATATATAAATATTTACAATAAAAAGATGTACGAAAAAATATGCGAAGAGAAAAATGTATACAACTCATTCTATGTAAAAATTGTACAATGTTTAAAGCTTACTTTATTTTTTCGAAGGGGATATATCTCTAAAGGTAAATAATTTATAGACATTCACACTCACATATTATGCCAGTGAACGGGTAGTAAAAAATCGAGATAGGATCTTTATTACGATCCTGCAAAATTTTCACTTTTCTGGCACGTGAATTTTTTATACTTTGAAGTCAACAATTTGCCTGATTCACAAGCTTAAAATTTTCTATTCCATAAAATATCCAAGTTGTAAGTCACGTAACAGCACTACTTCCCAGATTGCTGCAGCAAAACTACATTTTTGAGAGTTTCGACTTTCTTGAAAATTCATGTAAAGTTTATCGATTTTGGTGGAGTCATGATTGCACTATCATTCAATTTATAAAATGTTAAGTCTCGTCAATATTAGTTAATTAAACCTTTTTAATGACTATTACAGAGTTAATATAAAAATTTTATTTTTTATTCATTAAAATAAGCACATGTATCTACACAATTAAAAACAGCAGATGTAGAGTAGAAAAAAAAAACATTTTGAATGAAAATAATTTATAAAAAATTAGTCGTTTGATAAAAACAGTTTTAATAAAATCAAATTAATATGATTATTATCATTAAAATTCATATCAAATAACTTTTTACATTCATGTAGGTAATAATTTTGATAATTAAAATATACATATTTGATTCTAATAATAAATTTTCAGTGGATGACATGCACACCCTCTTTCTTTATTCATAAAATCACTACTACTAAAAAAAAATATTATAAACGGTGAGGGATAATATATTTTACACCTCATTATTATTATTGTTATGTGATGAATTAAAGTTTTCCATTATTTACAGTTTAAAGAAAAATAGAATTCAGATTGAACAGGAATACGTAGCCCAGTAAAGGTAAAAATAACAAGAAATCGTGTAATATTTTCTAATTTATTCCATTTCTCATAGAAGATTGATCGTCATCACAATCAGCAAACACTCGTACTTTTTTCAACAATAAATAAACTGTAAGTAAACTGTACTGCTACTTGCTAAATAATATTATTTCATTTCACATCAACAAATTGTGATTAAAATTAGTTAAAAAAAATTTCTAACTAATATTACATGAATGAAATCAATAACAATAACTTATTAAATAATAATTTCATTCCTAACACATGTAAAGATGTTCATAATTGATTTCTCGAGTACAAAATATTGTTCAGTGCAAGAAAGTCGTCGTGAAAAATTTACATCAATTTAGCGAGGTTTCTTTAATGCTTTGTTGCAAATACATACCTCGTAGAATTGTATACACTATTATAAACTGAAAACTGAAACCTCGCATGGTACTTATCGTGATAATGATTTTTTTATACAATTATGAATTTGTCGTACATCATACACAAAAAAACTACCACCTTCAGATCTTCATGTTTCAGTTTTTACTTAAGAAAACAGCACCACTCCTTGGGTTGATTTGTACACTTGTTGATTTTATACTGTCACTGAAAAATAAAAATTTATTAAGAGTATTCGATAGAGTACAAATTGTTTAGCGAAAAAAATTAAAAAATCGTTTTAAATGAATGAGATGGATACATAACATTTTAATTTTTCGTGTACAATGGAAACAAATTTTTTATAATTTTTTGTTTCAATTCACTTATATTTCGCAAGGTACTAGAAATACTAAGTATGTCAATATCTTTCTTATACCGAATCAGTGCTATCGTACGTAACATCACATTCCGTCACTGACTTTTTGGTTAATTAAGTTTTGCTATTCTACAATAGTTCAGTTGTAATAAAGAGTGGAGTACACTCAAATTAGTGCCTGATTATTCATAAAAATTCAGGGCAAATGATGATGGTTAGCATAAACAGCTCTTAAAGTCTCACTCATTTAGCATTGAGTTAAATTCAAATGCTTGATCGGTGAATGTTCACTGATTTAGATTGAGAAAGGTGGCAATGAAACCATTACGTAAAACATTGTATTCACCTGCTTTGGATGTCCATAGAATCTGACGTGGTAACGTACAGTAATAAATCGTCTGGAACCTTTTCAAAAGCTTGCAAACTCACGGTCTCTGGCGAGTAACCAAAGTTTATTACCACGTAAACTGACGTCTCGCCTTCAAGTTCTCTGCAATGATACATAAGTTATTTTTAATGTAGTATTTACCAAACTTGCAATATTTATGATTTATCGATGATACACATTCAAACGAATGACCTACCTTGAAAAGGCAAATACATCGTCATTCAGTAGTCTCGTTTGAAGCGATCCCTTATTGACTGCTGGCAACTTTCTAAGCTCCGTTATTTTTAAAAACGTTTTGTAGTAGGACTTGTCCGCTGCTTTTTGAGCAGCAAGATTGAGATGTTTAAAATTTTCATTCACACGAAGCCAAGTATTCGGATTAGTTGAAAATCCTAAAACATTCATGCGTTTCAGAGTGTACTTTTCATGAAGCTCTGATTGAAATTAGGCCATGGCAAAGAATTACCAGCAGAAACTGTATTGTCCCACTGGAAGGGCGTCCTAGCTTTATCGCGGGACGATTTCTCATAGCCACCCTTGCCAGCGTTACATCCTTGAGGATCCTGCGTCTCCTCCCAAGACAGCCAAGTGTCCTCCATACCGATCTCTTCGCCATTGTAGGTCACGGCAACGCCAGGTAATAGATGCACCATAATTTGCAAGGCTGGTGCCAAGTTGCGTCCGTAGCGCGTCACCAGCCGTGACTTGTCGTGATTGCCGGCCTAAATATTTTCAAATCGATAAAAAAAACCCTTGATCAATATTATCATGTCTACAAACGATAACAAAAAATTCCTCAATAATACACTTTTTTCCACGAATTGATCATGCCACTGATAAAATTGATATGATTTTATCACCTCAATAAAGATATCACGCCAAAACGACAAGATGGCACACTAAATTGAGTTTTTTTTTGCGTTATTCGACGTCTCACGTAACAACAGTTGGATTCAAAGCAGTCGCTGTTTAGCGTATGTAACTCATGGGTTGTCGTACTCACCACCCAGTTAGATACAGCCCCGACGGGCAAATTATCGGTCCACGTGTCCACGAGTTTCTTGAAGCTTTCAGCTTTCGAATGTTTCTCGACTGACGTGATCAAGCCAAAGTTGAAGGGAAAGTGTGCCCTGTACAAGTAATAATCCATCGTCTTGCTCATATTGGCATAAGCTTCGATTACGATGATGCGCGTGTCGCCCTTGTTTTCGTACTCGTCCATAACATCCCGCCACTGGCTTACCATTTCGTACGTTTCGCGCAAAGCGTTCGTGTACATGTGGATCGTGTAACCGTAGCTCTTGGGGTCGCTGGTGGTTCCGCTCAGGGGCTCGTCTCGCAAATCTTCGATCTCATACAGATGGGGTATCGCGTCTATGCGGAAACCGTCCACGCCCTTGTCGAGCCAAAACCTAAGGATGTCCTGTGGAACATTACAAAATGCTCATTAGAATTTTGGAGCATTTACTTTTAATACTTTGTTATTTAGGGAAAAACCGTTATTTCTTAACCTTCATTTCTTCCACGACTTTCTCGTTGCGGTAATTGAAATCTGGTTGTTCAGGAGCGAACTGGTGTAAATAGTACTCTTGCCTCTCCTCGTTCCAGGTCCAAGCAGATCCGTAAAATACATTGACCTGCAGTTTATTTGTTTATTTTTTTCTTGTTTTCATGAAGCGAAAATATTATAAACACCAAAAAAAAGGCCTTGATGTCCTCAATGAATTACCCAGTTATTTGGTGGTTGGCGACTCCCATTGACGATTTTTCCCGGATGCCACATGTAGTAGTCTGTGTAGGGTTCTATTTTTCTAACGCTATTCTGGAACCACTCGTGTTTGTTGGAACTATGATTAGGCACGAAATCCATGATGACCTTGAGATTTAATTTATGGGCTTTGTCCACCAGATCTTCGAAATCCTGCATGGTACCGTAAACAGGATCAATCCCCTTGAAGTCAGAGATGTCGTATCCAAAGTCCACCATGGGGCTCGGGTATATGGGGGACAACCAGAACGCATCGATTTTGGTATCGACCAAGTGCTCCAATTTGCTCTCTACACCTGTAAAGATAAATCAACTCACAGTCATTCATTTAAATCTTTCACGCAGAAATCAAAGTTCGATTGTGTTTCATCCCGCAAACTATTTTGTCGATCGATCAAGGTCATGAATATGTACACCTTTATCGAAAATATATCGGGGTGGTATCTTCACTGCACGAGTACGTGTCCTGAACATTTTTCCAGTTTGCATCACATTCGTGTAAAATACGTTCGAATTGAAGGGCCATTCGTCAATATCCATACCAATGGCATATCGCTCAATCACTAACGCTTCTCTTGGAATCATATATGTCAAAGGGTGTCGAGAGTTTTTGTTTTTTATTTCTCGATTGCATTAGTAATCACTTTCAGTTGAGCATCCTATCGTTGCACGTGTATTATATACATAATATTTGTCGACGCTAGTTAATGTTCACCCACTCCTACTTGATCGAGGGAATTAATAGTACGGGGGTAAGGGCGACCATAATATTGGGCTGCCATACCATACACTAGTTGGAAATTCGTGGGTTATTGAGGTTCTCGAGAATACCAATTACTTTTAATACAAAAATTCATACGAGTAGCACACTTGAGTATAAATGCTAATCACACTCATCGATAACAATTCATCAGATAAGGAGCCATCAGACTATGGTGTTAAGATGATTTTAAGATTGTTGACTCGGCAACGTAATATTATAAGCTCAACATAAGGATAAAAAATAAAAAAAAAAGTAAAAAAAAAAATAATAATAATGTACTTGAAATCGAGATAAAACGAAGGCCAATGATTGTACAAAGTACCAAAGAATGCCATCCAAATCGTCGATGCGAGAAGAGTAAAAACAATATTTTTTAAGCTCTGATATAATTAAGAAGTCGCGCAAAATTCCGATTCACCCTCCAATTAGATCGGCGACTTATTTTCAGACCATGAACTTTTAACGAATCCAAATTGACACTTTTCCAGCGCTGACCTGTTATTGGCTTTTAATCATCGATTGTAATTGAAACTCGGCGAGTTCGACGTGCTAACGTGATTTCTCCGTCCCTCTCTCTCATCTACCGCTGGGCAAAGTGCCCGTCCGTCTCGCTGTCGATTCCAGAAAGTAGAATAACCCGCTTTGCGGATATCGAAGGGATAGCGCGAGCAAAGTCGCCCGAGGGTTTGAGCCACTAATGGATATAGTCCGAGGCAGGTGTCAGTCTCTCGCGTTTGCCGGTTACATGACGAGAACTGTGAAGTGCGAGGTTTTAAAGTTTATGACTCGATGTGGAAGATATGGCCAGTCGAAGCTTGGGGACTTGCCACAACTGGTTATAATTTTGTATGACTTTGAGCATTTAGAATGATTATTCTTACGTTTACCCACGAACCTTGCATAAGTGATCCACCCTTGTGCAATTTAAAAACATTTAATTCTGATGAAAAGTGATTATAACCTTAACATTTTCTTATCATATATTATTTGTTTACTCCAACATTTGTCAGCAGATTTTTAAATTAGATCGTATTTTTTCAAATTTCTTTCATAATACGCTTGTTATTGAGAAAGTAGTTATACGTTATGATATTCATAATTTTGGTCCATATTGAAATTGGTTTTTAAAATAAAAAAATAAAAAGTTCTTGGATCATTAGGGAGCATAATACAATTTTTATGAGTAGTATGCAAATTTTCATTTATAATTTTTACAACACACTAGAATCATTTTTTTGAATTGTAATTTGGTAGGAAGATGTTAAAATATTCATCATACACAATATTACGCGAAAAAAAGCCCCCAGGGTGTACTTGTATTAAACAGTACACAATTCATGGTGTACTTGTATTAAACAGTACACAATTTCAAATAACCGACTCAAAGGAAAGAAAATTTCCGGGAAAACTTACCCTTGAGATCTCCAATACCATCACCATCGCTGTCTTTGAAGCTTCTCGGGTAGATCTGGTACAAAGACATAGCTTTCCACCAGTCTGATGAGTCTCCATAAACACCGAGATAGAGGAGCGCTAATACTCCAAGAGCTATAAAGGTCCTCATTTTTTTTCTGTCAACAAAAATGAAAAAACTTCTTTTGAAACAAATTAAACGCATCCCTGTTGGAATTCAATTTGAAACGAAACGCTGCTATAGTTTTAGTATTGTAACAAATTGTACAAAAATAATGATGTTATTTTATGTAGATTAATAAAATTTTAGAAAAAAATTTAATTTAATTTTTGAATTAGTTATTTTACAGCTTTGATGGGGTAAAATTGTTTTTTAGTGCGAAATTCCTTAAATTAAATCTGTTGAAAGAAATAAAATCCACAAGATTGAACGATTTAATTTTTTTACTATCAATTTTTAAAATAACTAATAAAAAATAACGTGTAAGTATTTGATTAACATCTAAAGAGATACCACTGATTTTTGTGCTTAAACCAATTCAAATAAATTGAATAAATGAAAATTAAACTCCACGCCTAAGCTTGTCGAACCGATATTGTAGATAAAAATTTACATTCGTAACGTAATTATCAGTGAAATCATTTAATAAAAATTTACCGGCTACAACAAGAAGACGCGAGTGGCGGAATACTTTATCAATCTTTCAATAAAGCACCGAGTAAATTCAGTGTCGCGCAAGAGTCGACCACTGACTATTCAACACTCGCAATTCATCTATTTATAACGCTAGCGAAAACGATGGCACAGGAGTAGCAGGAGGAGGAGGGGGCACCTTGTTTTATGCACGTGTTATCCGCTATATATCGCCGATCGACCTACCACCAGCTCTCTATCTCACTCTCTCTCTCTCCCCCTCTTGTCCTTCTTTTTCTCATTTGCTCGCTCGAATGATCGACAATCAACTGATTTTTAAGGTTTTCATTGTGTACCTATATCTCCAGTGTGACGGGCGTGTTTTTACAAATCTGCAAAAAAAAAAAAAAAAAAAAAAAACGAAGTCACGAGAATAAGTAAATAAGCAAACGAACGGAGCACGTCAGTATGACAATGTGTGTGATTGCACTTATTGCAGGTAAAAAATTTACCTTGCAATTATTCATATGAAATACTAAAAAAAGAGAACTACACTTATTACAGAAAATGTTTACAATGGCTCGAAATGTCGCGTTAGATAAAGTTTCTTCAATTCATAATCCCGGAACGCATCCGTCATGATTACAGTATAATAACTTTTATGCTACTTTCCTTGTATCTATACAGCACCTATACACTTTCCTCGTGAAGCTGCTGTTTGTTATCGGATATTAATATCACCTTAAAATCACCAGATTACGAACATTGGTATTATGATAAAAACGTAAAATGTTATACTCATTTATGTTTCAACTAAATTATTAATCTACAATTCCAAGATACAGGTACATCAAGGAACCTACTCATTCCATCAAATCATTTTTTTGAGTTTTGCTTATGAATAAATTTTAATTCTTGATATACTGTATTTGATGACCAGAGGTTTCATTTGATAATTTAAACTAAATTAAAAAAAAAAAAACATTTTAAATCGCTGTAGAGAGAAAACTTAGACGACAAAGTGTTAACTAAGTATATACAATTTTGCATGATACACAGTTGTAAGGGTTTACAATTTCTTAATAGCAAGTAGCTAGCCAGCCAATTTTGTGCGATGTTAAAAAGTTAAAGTATCATTAAGATTTTTATCATAAATATGCATATACATTACAATGTAACTCATAACTAAGGACTATTTAAATTTTTTGCATTTGTTTTTGATCCTTAATTCAATTATTTTTCAGAGCACAATTATTTTCGCGCGTAAAATATTCTTTTCCTTATTTTCTTTTTTCAACTGAGAATTATTTTTTTATTATTTTTATTATTGTCTTCATGAAGAAAACAACAAGTCAGTTGCAAGGAGTAATTTATTATTGCTACTTGGACTGATATTTTCTCAATCTGGATAAACTTTATCAGTTATTTCCCATATTTTAATATTTTTAGTGTAATACGCATTTTTTTAAAGTATATTACTAATAACGATAGGTTAAATAAATCTTGAAATGAGTAGTGGATTTTTTTCTCGTGTAATGAAATGTACTGACTACTGTACGCGTGTCTGTTTACTATAGTACATTTTTTCAGTAGTAATAAAGACTCCTCAGATAAGAAAAGTGCTCAGCTGAGCCTATAATTTACGTTTCATTTAAAATATTGTTGTACAATACGTTTGTTATAATTTTTAATAAATTCATTGATATAAAATAGTAGTAAGAAATTGCTCGTTCAAAGTCATTGATTGTTTTCATAATCAACATAAATTGTTAGTATTTAAAAATTTTTTAACAAAATGTTTATAATGTTTATTTAAAATGGTAGTGAANGCCAAAGTGTATAAAAGCTCCTTTCCTTACTCGACCGAGCGATATTTTTCCAACTTGACATTGTTTCGTCGGGCGTCCTTAACATTGTTGGAACACCGCGCGGAGGAGCTACATTAGCATATACCTTTTTTTTCCATCTCACATACATATAACTCAAGAGCTCGCAGTTTGCTCGATAAACCGCGATGCAGTTATACAGATGTGATGGATTTTCCCTCATTTCTCCTTTTTTTCTCATCCTCGTTTGGATTGTCACATTAGAGTAAGCAATGATTTTTTTTTTGTACATATAGTATATGTACGTATAGGTCGATAGAGTACAATGCCCATGTTTTTATCTTTGAATAGTCTCTTTTATTCACGCCAACGCCAAAATTAAAGTCAGAGCGGCAGCGTAGAAGCAGGTATTAATATTTAGCGCGTCTGATTTTTTTTATCCAAGACTCCTTGCTCGCGACTTGTTCTTTATTTCATCGCGTATACTAATCCCAGAGTTTATTGTTACTGGCCCAAAGTATATTTTACAATTTAGTTGAAAAACGGCCCAGAAAATTTCAAGTGCAAAAGACAATCGTAAAAAACTTAACCAAATCTGTTTACCCTTACCCAAAAGCCCGCGAGTGTGCATACCCCCACGCACGAGTACGCGACGAAATTACGAGAAATTTTCAAAATATTATGTGAATCGAGTTCTTACTCGTGAACTAGCTCCTTTACCTTAAATTAAGGTTAAAGACTTTTTTTGAATAGTAAAACTCACGTTTTATTTTTTTTTTTTTTACTTTTTTTTTTACTTTGTACAGCCAGGCATCCAAGAATAAATTGAAATTTTGGGCCTTAATTGAGAGCATCAAGCTTTCAACTACAATAACAGTACACCTGAGAACCTAGTCCGGCAGCCAGGATACTTTTCGTAGCCGATAGAGGTCCATTGTTATACCAAAGTTTTTTTTAATGTATTTTGACGCGCTGAATCCGATTTTCAAAAGTGCTTGGCTGTAAAATTGGTCGATTAATTGTTATAAACATTTTTTATAAACAAATAAATTTTTTTTAACTCCTTGGCCAATTTTTAGACAAAGAGTATTCTTATCATTTTTTCGTAAAAACCTTCTAAAAAAGTCCCGAAAAAGTACAGATTTGGCAATATTCTGCTACAGATTCCAGCCGCAAAACGCATTCAACCGTAATCTCATTTCAATGGTTATTTGTTGCTCGTTATGTATAACAAACGTGGTGCATCTTTATTGACGAGTAACAACTGTCCCCGAGCTTAAATTATGCGTGGATAACCGAGCCATGAATCGCTACTGATTATCATCAGGTTCACGTAGTGACTCGTCTATCGACAAATAACGACCACCCTGTACATGGAGTTTCAGCGTTGGCGAACAGGTGGGCTGTTACTCGCTATTCGAGTATACTAGCTAGTGAAATTTCTATTGGTTGCTCCCTGATAACGAAAATATAGCCAACTCGTGGCTTCACGGATACGCAGGTTCTCACGACTCGTTTCCTTCGGTACGTGTATTGGGGTTGATTAGGACTATACTGCTTCTTGTAGGATAAAATAAGCTTCAGCAATACGTGGTAGTGCTTACCAGGATTATTTGACATGGCAAATATCACTTGATACTTGCAATTAAGTCTTATTTATTAATGAAGTAATTTATGATAAAGTAACTTCGTTGTTCTTGATTTCATAAAAAGATACATTCTTAAGCGAATGGTTTGAAAAAATTTTTTTTATAGTAAACGAATCAAAATATAATTATTTATAGTTCATTTTTCAATATTCATGATACATACGAAGGATTCAAAATTAAGTGATTTCATGAGTAAACCTGTAGACCTTAAAGATGATTACATAACTTGGATCTGTTGTAAGCCGAGTTCTATGTAATTCAATTGTTGATCTGTGCGATTGTGCTATGACTAGGACAAAAAGAAAACTGGGGCCTTGACATCTAGACGGAATTAACTTGACACTGATAGGATTTCGTTGGTGCTTCGTCAAACACATAATTGAGTAAAGCAGCAGGAACGCCTGAGAGGTACTTATGTTGATTTAATTGAGAAAACGTTTTGCTTATCTCCAATGAATGGTAACCACAAATTCTTAGTGTTATTTAATCATGTTATAGATTTTATATTAATAAATAAAGATAATTTTTATTATCTTCAATTATATCACTGATTGGATGTTTGGATACATGCTTATCTTTGTATTTGACAATATGCTTAGATAAACTTTTATCTAATAATTACTTAAATTCTTACAATACTGTAGCCATTGTATGGTAATAAAGCTTATCAGTATATAAATGGATTTTTTGACTTTTTTAAATTATTTAATCTGCAAGAATTGAATTGAATGAATAGATAAATGGAAGAGCTTAAGAACAAACAAATAAGTAGGATACAATTGTCAAATTTTGACTGAGGTTAATTTCAATAAGATAAAAAAATGATTTATAAATATATGATTTTAGATTACACTTCTTTTGTTCTTAATATCACCTTAAAATCACCAGATTACGAACATTGGTATTATGATAAAAACGTAAAATGTTATACTCATTTATGTTTCAACTAAATTTTTAATACAAAAATTCATACGAGTAGCACACTTGAGTATAAATGCTAATCACACTCATCGATAACAATTCATCAGATAAGGAGCCATCAGACTATGGTGTTAAGATGATTTTAAGATTGTTGACTCGGCAACGTAATATTATAAGCTCAACATAAGGATAAANTTTATAGTAAAAAAAATAAACTTAAACATAACCGTCTAAAAATTTTTTCAACTTTATTCTATACAATGCACGACAACTATTAAGTACTAATGAAATGAATTTGAAACTAAATACATTTGTGGACTTCTACAACATTTTTTTAGTGAAACAAAACATAGCACATCTGGATATTATCATTTAGTATTAATTTTCTTTAAAATGTTTTGTTTTATCTCAAAGAATCTAGAATTGTAAGTCTCATGTAAATTGTTACTCATTAAAATTATTTTTTACTAACTTCATGAATAGAATTTAATTAATATTTGGGTATTGCATTTATTAGAAATTTTACGGATAAACGTTATGGGATTTTAAAATATACATTTATAGTTTGAACTGCTTTATTATTAATTTATTGAAAAAAAAACACAAAGTTATAATATTTATCAACGTACAAAAATAATTGGCCTTCATATTTAGTCAACAGCAGTGAAAATATATGCACTTCGAGCATTTACATGCAGTTTCTGTGATTCCATAATTTCTCTGAAATTATTTCATACAAATTATAATCTATGAGCCAAATTATTAAAATTTTTTTTTTATGGACATAGTTACTACAATTAACTGACCCATCTTTGACATCTTTGAATACAGGCAAGGCCGTATACAGTTTTACTTTATCCAGTGTATCATCGTATTTTTTCAAATCTACGGTTTCTGCTTCATAACCAGCATTTATTACAACGTAAATCGATTTTTCACCATTAAGATCTCTGTAATAAAAAATGTTTGTAAGATGTTCATAAAATCTAATGTACGATTGATTTGTTCATACTTTTTGTACATTAAAAAAATTACATGATTACCTCGAAAAAGCAAACACATTATCACTCAGCATCATGGACCCAAACGATCCTATTTTTATAACTGGTAATTTTCTAAGATTGGTGACTTTTACGAAGGACTTATAATATGATTTATCAACGGCTTTTTGTGCTGCTAGGTTAATTTTCTTGTAGTTTTCATGAACTCGCAGCCAAGGTTTTGGATTTGTTGAAAATCCTTATGTAATATAAAAAACAAAATAGATGATAATTATAATTAGAAAGTCGTTAAATTCTACATTGAACATTTACCAGCTGATACCGAGGAATCCCATTGGAAGGGGGTTCTGGCAGGATCACGAGTCACACTGCTGAAAAGCTTTTCCCCGACCCTACAGGCTTGGGAGTCTTTGGTCTCCTGCCACGACAGAATCGTATCTTCCATACCGATCTCCTCGCCGTTGTAAGTGACAGCTACTCCTGGAAGTAGCTGAACCATCGTTGTTACGACTGGAGCAAAATCGCAACCATGGCTCGAAACAATTCTAGTGTTGTCATGATTTCCAGCCTGCGAATTACATTCAAACAAGTACCTTATTGATAACGAAGGGATTTTTATCGTGTTCGCATTCGTGATACAACTACTAATCGCGTACTGACCACCCAGTTGGCTGTGGATCCAATAGGCATGTGATCCATCCATTCGTCAATCAAATATCTGTACTGTTCAGCAGTGGTGTTTTGGTTTGTAAAAATGAAACGAAAATTAAAAGGAAAGCTTGCTCCGTAACAATAATAATCCATAGTCTCTTTAGGATCACCGTATATTTCTAACATGAGGACACGTGGGCTTTTGTTCTTGTATTCGTCGATCACGTTTCGCCACTGTCGCACCATCTCATATGTTTCCAATTGATTGGTTGTGTAAATATGAACGGTGTATTCATAGCTATTGGAATCATTGGTTGTACCGGTTAGAGGTTCGTCCAACAATTCCTTGGCTTCTACGAGGTGTGGCACTGCGTCCACGCGAAAGCCATCTACTCCTTTGTCCAACCAAAATCTCAAGACATTCTAGTAAACAAACATTTCGTTGAAAAAATGCTTAATGTTCTAGTAAAAGATTGTAATACTGTGGACTAGCCTTCATTTCTTCGACAACTTTTTCGTTGCGGTAGTTTAAATCAGGTTGTTCTGGTAAAAACTGATGCAAATAATATGCCTGTCTCTCCTCGTTCCAAGTCCATGCTGATCCGTAGTAGGCATTGACCTATTTTTTTTTTAAATACAGAAACTACAGTTTGTGTAAAAACGATTATTTCATGCACTTTTAACCAATCAAAATTTACCCAGTTATTTGGTGGCTGACGAGTTCTATTCACCATTTTGCCAGGATGCCAAACGTAGTAGTCTGTGTAGGGTTCTACTTTTTTAACACTTTTTTGGAACCACTCGTGTTTGTTGGAACTATGATTAGGCACGAAATCCATGATAACTTTGATCGATGAACTGTGAGCTTTATTGAGTAGATTTTCAAAGTCCTTCATCGTCCCGTAAATGGGATCTATTCCCCGGTAGTTGGTCACATCGTAACCAAAGTCCTTCATTGGACTCGAGTAGATAGAAGATAACCAAATGGCATCGAATTTGGAATCAATCACATGTTGAAATTTGCTTAAAATACCTTACTCATCATATGAATCATATAATCAATTTTGAGCTTCATTAAATTAATGTCACAAATAAATTCAATTTATCACAAGTTGTAAGGCCCGCTTACCTTTAAGATCTCCAACTCCATCGCCATCACTGTCTTTGAAGCTTCTTGGATAGATTTGATAGAGAGACATGGTTTTCCACCATTCTAACGGTTCACCATGAATTTTGCAGAACAGTAATAATATGATTTGTCCAGCTATGAGAATCTTCATGTTTATATCTTTAATATGACGTGCTATTAATCAAATTGTAATTTGAAAATTGAAATTATTATAGCAACGCAATAAAAATTGCGGGTATCGGTGTCTATTCTTTATACTGAAAAGTTCACAAGAATTATCCGTTTTATACCTTTGCCAGTGAGAACAATGACGAAAATTTCATCTTTTTTGTCTATGTTCAACATGCGAACAGCAGATAATTTTTATGTTTTACACTTCGTTTATCTTGTTTTCAGTATTTTAAAAATCTTACTTATTTTCAATGTAAAAAACTGAAAAAAAAATACGCTTTTATGATGTAACAAAAACATTGTGAGCAGAAATATTTAGAGTTAATACCACGTAATCCAAAGTGTATAAATAAACAAATAATACTTTACGAAAAAATTTTTTTAACATTAGCTAAAAGTACAATTTGGCCTTGTGTTGTTTGAATATTGTTAGTTTGAAGATAATATTACGAGTCCATCTGTGATTACTTAAAAAAAATACTTTTACTATTCAACAAGCACATCACACTGACTAAAAAGAAAAAGATTTTGCTATTAAATAATAATAAATTTTTTTAGATAAACTTAAATGATAACCGTATAATGTAAATGAATTAATAGTCATTTATAAATGGATAAACGTTATG